CCCCCCCCCCCCCCCGATGCCCGCTTGAAATACCCCCAGGTGGATAATCAGCTTGATTCCCAACGTTTCCCGGTTTTTGGGGGGGATGGGGGAGGTTTTTGGGGGGATGGGGGATGGGGGAGTCCAGGTAAGGGGGGGCCCCCCCCCCCCCCCTCCCTAACTTAAACCCTGTTCGTGGCTCTTGGCTTTGGCGTTTTGTTTCGTTCTCTTTTTGTTGTCATGGTACAGCAGTAACAAGCCCTGTACATGTAGTGCCGGTATGTATGTGTCCAGAGATTTTACGGGCACTAGACTTTACCGGACAACCGGCACTATTCAAAGTACAGAACGGCTTGGTATTTCAGTGTGTGCCGGCCGAAAACACCGGCGCTGCTGTACCGGGCACCCGGCACTATTCGACCGGCACTGAACAGGGCCCACAACTGCTGTATGTTTATTTCTAGTGCATTCCTCGTGAATCCTGCCCAAACTGAATTAGTTTGTACTCTTTGAGTATGCACGTTTATTTCTAGTGGGTGGGTGCCCGTGCCTCGTGAGTCCAGCCCAAAGTGAAATATCAGTAGTTATTATAAATCCGGAGTATACAAAAAGCGACTTAATATGCCGGCAAAACACACGCATGCACTTTCGTGACCATGTCTTTTAGGCACGTAACACGCGTTTTGGTTTCGGAGGCAGTATGTGTGTGTGTGTTTTTTTTTTATTTTATTAGCATCGACCGCGCTAACCGGCTGACCAATGAAAAAACGTCAGTCTTAGTGCGGTTGAAAACACAAAACACTTCTATCTGCCATTAACTGGGACCCCTTGAGGGGGCAGTGTGTGTGTGTGTGTGTGTTTTTTATTATTATAATAGCATCGACCGCGCTGACCGGCTGACCAATGAAAAGACGTCAGTCTCAGTGCGGTTGAAAACACAAAACACTTCGAAATGCCATGAACTGGGACCCCGTGAGGGGGCAGCATGGGGGAGGCTAAACTATCCTTCGGATCAAAGACACAGTGTGGATCAAAGACACAATGTGTGTGTGTGTGCGTGTTTTGCTACAACCGTTGTGACCTTTTTGCCGCGATTGGCGAATAATGATGGCGTTTGCACATGCACACAGGTGCTGTCAAGTCTGTCTGTGTGTGTTTCTTACTAGCACGGACCGCGCAAACCGACTGACCTATGAAAAGACCTCAGTCTCAGGGCGGTTGAAAACAAAAAATGCTTCTAAAGGCCACAATGTGGGACCCTGTGACCGAGCGTCATGGGGGAGTCTACGCTACTCTCTGGATGAAGGACAGATACTGTAGCAATCAAGATATGTTGTGTGTGTGTGTGTTTTTTTTTTTTTTCGTTTTTTGTGTCGATCACGACCGCCGTTGTGACCGACTGTTTGCCGCCATCGGCAAATAATGATGATTTTGCCATCTGTACATGTGTACACAGGTGCTGATGCTAACGATGTTTGTGTGTGTGTTTTTTTTTTTTTTACCTATAGCTGTTATGACTGTTTTTTTCCGCGGTTGGCAAAGAAAGATGATAGTCGCATAAACATGCGTACATACGTTTTGTGTGTGTTTGTTGTTTGTG